ATAATAATTAATAATAATAATAATTAATAATAATAATAATTAATAATAATAATAATTAATAATAATAATAATTAATAATAATAATAATTAATATAATATATGTCGCAGCTGATGGGGTCCCTATTTAAATCTACTGAACCTACTAAAATCCATATATACACTTTTGTTAATAAATATAACTAGCCATAACAAAAAAAATCTAAAAAATATGCACCCAAAAATTTTGAAAATTTCTTATTAAAATAGGCTCGATTCTCAGCTTCAGCTATGACAATATATATTGTTTATTGTAAGAAGGACACTTAGTTTCAGCTAAAAAATAGCCTACTCGTCCTATTCACCACGTAGAGGTGATCCTATACTGTCTCATAAAACTTAAGTGAGCTGAAAATTTTATCAAATCTTAGTTTCTCGCGTAAAAACTGATTGCTGTTTATCAGTTTGGGCTTAGAAATTCATGTTAATGAAACGTAAACGTTTGAAATAAAAAAATAAAAAAATGGGTTGACAAAGAATTCACGTGAGCTGGGTATTTTATCAAACTTTTCCTCGAGCAAAAAACCGATACGATACCCCTTGCCACTTGTCAGTTTAGGCTTTAAGGTTTATATTACCAAAACGTGATCTGCTCGAGAAGAAGGTGAAAAAAAAGACTAACTAAACAAGTAATTAATTAACAAAAATCATTATACTATTCTTAAAAAATATTCTAACGTTATCTGAAACAGCCTCTGGTTAAGAAGTTCTCAGAAACGTTAAAATATTCCCTAAAAATATAGCAACATTTTCTGCTACAACAGGTAATATTAAAAAAGTGTAATATCACAAGAAAAAATAAGTAGATTGAAAGGAATGAAATTAGGAGCGAATAAAGTGAAATGATCCTTATAACCCTTTTTTTTGCCAACGTGAAACGAGTTTGAAACTTGTACAATCAGGTGGTTCGTTCACGTGAGATACCATAATAGTTTGATCGTTATTGGTATCAAGGAAAAAAGCAGCATTATTTTAGAAATTCTAACTCGTAAATTGGTTTATAAGAATATTATTTTATTTCTATATATAAAAAATCTTAACGATTCTATTTGACATCTGCAATATAAAAAATAAAATACAAGAGCATAAACTAACATCTTGGTGATTTATACGAAATTACATAATACAAAGTCCAATAATTGAAAATTTGCGAGTATTATACTGTACACTTTATGCAAAGAAATTAGAAATTAGTCATATTCTATATGTAAAAAAAGGTAGTTAAAATTGAATATATAAGGATGTTTTAAATGTGAAGTAAGCATCGCTGTCTACATAAAGTACATCGTCTGAAGAATTACAAAAAAAAAAGAGATTAGAATATTATAATTGAGGAGAAAAATTAAAATATGAAAATAGAGAATATGCATACTCTAACCAATTCAGGTTTTACAACACCAAAAGTAGATACTTGTCCTGGAGTTTCTTCCACAGATTCAGTATCGCTCCATAGCTCTCCACGGGAATGGAATCTTGCGCGTCTGCAAACAATATGCGCATAATAGACTGGTGGAACTAAAGATACGGCTTTAGTGCAACGTGCGTAGATGTAGCACAAGTTATAAGATAACGCCTGAAGACTAAATAATAGAAGGTAAAACGCGTTCAAACAAGCGAATTTGGAGTTAAAAACATAAAATTCGTCAATAGTAATTAGACCAAGAGACCGAGACATACCCGTCAGTGGTGAATCTATTTTCATCATACAAGACGTGATAGTGTGTTGGACGTGAAGTTCCTTGCAATCCCGCGTGACTTTGCAAATCTATTAAATAATGGCAATAAAGGTTTAATGGACAAATATAACAATCTCAATAAAAATGATAAATACTTACAAAAATCGAATTCGAATGGATGTGTGATCACTGATTCAACCACTGTGCCAGGAAGGCAATTGCCAGTTCTATCTGCGTCTTTTTTGTCCATGGGAAAGAGACGAGTATGATGACGCTTTTGGACAATAACGAAAGTAATAGTTGGTTTATATGATTCATTAAGTGAGGCACATGCAGCTATTAAAATATAAAGAATGTAAAAAACAAAAAGAATAAATAAAATAATTCAATAAATAAATAAACAAACAATAAATTTTATATATATTTATAATATTTTTACCTCTGACTGCATTGATCTCTCCGTCGAGAACCTGAGCGAATTGTCCTTCAGAAACACCATCTCGATAAAAGAGAATTCTTTCCGGTTTTCTACCACATGTCTGATAAAAGTTTCTTAACAGGTCTTTAACCATATTTGCTAAATCGGCTATTATTTCAGTGCGTCCCGTCTGAACACGAATTGCTGCAGAGTAACGAGAAGCTTTAGCGTCCAAGGATGCGCAAATAGCAGCAATAGACGGACGGGCAGATTCACCTAAATAGTAGTGAATGAAAATAAATTAATATCACTAAGAAGAAAAGAAAAATCCAATTCAAAAAGACATGCATTTACCGGGAGAAGGATGAGAGATATCAGCGCCCATAAGAATTGTTGGTTTGTCGGTAATAAAAGGAATTTGTGTAGGGCTGATAAAAACGTTCATTCCACCGAGCTTTACATTAATTTTGAGACAAACATTCGCGCAATACTGCTTCTTAGCCTGTAACATATGTCGACTTTGTATACATTGACTGGCAATTCCAATGACGGTATCGGTAACGCGCTTTATCTCTGCATACAGAGGGACTCCGGTATTTGGAAGAATACATACAATAAGCTGTGGTTGTGCCTTAGCCGCGTTACCAGCACGGAGCCATGCCGTTTTAAGAGCGGATTCAACGTCACCTTGCGGATTAGCATGCATAATTGGTGGCGTTTTATTCGGAATGTTCTATATATATATAAAAAAAAAGTGTTAATTATTAAATAATAATTATAAATAATAGTAATAAAAATTTTTACACACCATTCCATTATCTTGACATGTGAGTATTAGTTCACGTAAAAATGCTTGAACCGATTGAATAGGGAATTCGTGATCAGATCCGAAGGTGATTACCGACCAAGAACCAAGCGTAGCACCTTGAGCAACTTTCTTGTCTTTTAAATTCCAAGAACCTTCACGTGGAACAACTGACGCTTCACGAGAAGAAGGATGATATTGAAGCGTGGGTGTAGGGATGACACGTGCAGGTGCCTACAAGATATAAATTAATTAAAAGAACTAATTGACAAAATTTAAGGAAAAAAAAAAACTTACCACAATCATATCATTGGAAACGGTTACGCCAAATTGTTGGAGATATTCGTTACCGCGATAGTTTAGAATATCGACACCTTGTTTAATTCTATTAGCGCGCATATGAGGTGGTGAACAAGTAAATCTAATCATATCGGCAGTCTGTTTTTCATTGAGTTTGCGAATATAACGTTGCCCTTCAATGACTTCACAAACTTCCACAGGGAGAAAAACGTCTTTTTTCACAACAATGCATGGAAGATGAGGATAAGTCAATCTATGGTTGTAAGTTTTAAAAAAGTAAGTTGCGACATCCACAGTTTGACCATCGCCCATATCGAATCTGGTCTGATTCGAGGGTGTGAGAGTGATCTTATTGATCTTAAAACGACGTTTAGATTTCTCTTCGCCTCGATGAATGACTCTAATCTTTAAATTCTTTAAAGCTTTTTCTAATTTAAGGCGATCTTTATCTGATATTCCTCTGTGGAGGTCGTCAACGGAACGGCGTCCTAATATCTTGACAACCATTGTTACCAAGGAACCTGCTTCATAGAAGGCGGTCGCGCTCAAATCAACGTTAATCAACATTTTCCCTATATTTTAAAATAAATAAAAAAAGATTAAAGTCATGTATGTATTTTCTAATGATATAAAAAAAAAATTTATGATATACCTTTCGCGGGGCGAGCAGATTGATAATAGCCTTGCCAAACTTCGACACCTCCGGACAGAGCAGTAGCCCCTTGCTTTGTAAAAAACGAACGACCAACGGTAATATTTTTCATCGATGGAAGATGTCGGATAAGCACGTCGAGAACCATGATTGCTACGAGAAAACAAAAAAAAAAAACACAGATATACATATATTATCATGTCGTTCATAATAAATATGATAAAAAATTATGAAACAAATAAAAATTGAAGACTATATTATACCACCCAAACAGTTTGGAGTGAGTATGCCTTGACCGTCGAGGAATTGATGTAGTTCACTCATAACGATTTCACCGGCTTTCTTCATCTTGATCCTGAAAGCTCTGGGAGCTCGTCTAGTGGATGTGGTACCGTCATCTTCTGGTAATGTTATCTATTATAACAAATAGAAAATAGAATAGAAAACAGAAAAAAAAAAAAAAAAAAAAGTAATTTATAATTATCAAAAATTAAGAAATACTTACTTCAAATGTAGCCGCGTCACCAAATGGTAAAAATCGAGGAGCAAAAACGTTTTTACGTCCTGAGGTTATAGTGACCAGAGTAACCAGTAAATCAATAATTACGAATAAAACGCGTTCCATCAACATAAGAATAACAAAAAAAATTGAGTATCATCAAACTTGCCATCAAAAATAACACGAATGCTGTTAAGAGCAGAAATCAAATTCTCTCTTTCAAATACATCAAAAATCCTTCGATTTAAAGCAGGTGGTACGTCGGGAGTGATGGTGATATCATAGTGAATAATATTTTGTTCAGGGATTGATAATACTTCAAAGAAATTTGAACGGACACGTATTGATCTACCCAAACGACCTTCGCCTGGACGCTGAGTAAATTGCATTTGGATTATTTGAATATTAAATATAAAAATTTAATAAGATGATAAATATAAAATAAAATAAAGGAGTAGGTAGATAAGGTGTAAAATAGGATGAAATAAAAAATATATTGATTTGAGAAAAAATACTAGGGCAATTTTTGATCTTTTTATATTTATTGTATAAAGCTTTATAATCAGATACAATATACTTTGACTTTCATAGCTAACTTTCAAATGAACGTAACAAAACTATATTAAGTATATTAAGTATATTAAGTCAATTTACAAGTTTATGAAAGTATTACGTTTATAACAATTTATATATTATAATGCGAAATCCGCGCTTTAACATGAACGAAAGTTTGAGCTATATTATGCGCATGTCATTAAATTTTTTTATTATAAAATGAAATGACGTGTCTTTAAACGCGAAATATATCTTCTCCATCGCATTGACTCGGGAAAATCATTAACATGCTCAAACAAATCTGATATGCTTTATGCTCGAATAAACCTTATTTTAAGCTCACTTAAAATTATAAAATGCTAAATTAGTTAAATGTTTGAGTTTAAAATTGGGTAATATTTGATTCGTTTATTGATGTCAATAAATCACGTGATTGAAATTTTGTCATAATTATTTATCCTATATAACTTATACATTAAACATTATATATAAATCTGATAATTGCAATTTTTAAAATGCATTGTTTGTTGGTCTCCGTAGAATACTCCAATTACGAAGTATTTTTTAGACTATAATTTAGGTTTAGAATTTAAAAAATCAATGCCGTATATACTTACGTGTTATTAAACTAAAAACGAAATTAATACATATGCATATTAAAGTTATAACATTAGTTAAAATAATAGTGTAAATATCTAAAACATGTACAGTACTGTACACATACACTTCTAATAAGTATAGTATCAAATTTAATACGGTTTGACAATTTTACTGTATATTGTATAGGCTAGAAGTTGCAAAAAAACCAATATTTTTAAAAAAAAAGTATGTACAGAAATCAATTTTCTACCTAAGACATTAATAAAATTTTGTATAGCTCTTTAAATTTGTATTTTTTTTATAATTTATAGCATTATAAAATTATATATATATAAAATTTGTGTTTCTTATATTGTCTACGTACCATGTTTTGAACTCATACAGGGAGATCCGGGTCGGGATGCATCAGAACCCTGGTCGGATGGACCGATCGATTTTGCCCAAGATCACTAAGAATTTTACTAATGAAACCATAATCGTTCATTAAGTAAAAAATGCCCAGCTGATAATTTTACTATGGCTTCTACTAACCAGTATAGCTAACCCTAGCTAGTCCTAACACCGGCCCTAACCACAGTGTATTCCGGCCATTCCGACCTAAAAAATCATGTTCTGAGATCATTAAATACGTCTAAAAAATGTCCCCAGTCCTTTCTCCCGCGGTGTGGAACTTCCAGTTGGTTCGTAGTTTCCTAATGTCTCATACAATATAGCAAACTTGAGTTAGACATTAACCCGGCTGCTTCCATAATGTAAAAATTGATTTTTGTATACTGTATACTGTAGTAAATTTAATTAATATCTTTTAAATACATTATACGTAAAACTGCAGCATATCTGATATACTATATATAGTAATATTTTAATTTATAAAAATACAATACGTGTCGATATATATTAATGCAGTACGTATTTACAGTGAAAAATATATACAGTACCGTAAATCGCCGGATACAAGATCCCCCATGATAGTAGACCCATCATGTAGTATACCCGGATGCGTATCATGAGA